GATGAAGTGAAATAAAAAATAAAAAATGATTACCTCTTATTGTGTAACTAATATAAAAAAAATGTTTTGGAAAATTGTTTACCACATTCAACCATTGAAAATTTAGCATTCTAAATTTAGCATTCTAAAATACGCATATAAAACAAGTGAGATATAGGGGTCAACCATATCAATCTCATATCTCAATAATCCAAATAAATCATAATATGATTCCAACAATTCTTTCCATATCCATTTGAATCATTTCCATATATATTTTATTTTCAAAATCATAATATATCGGATATTTTATATATATATAATATATTAGATGAGGAATTATACAAAAAAAAAAAGAAGAAAAATTCTTTCTTTTTCAAATTTCTCCACCCTTTCTCAATATTCAAATTTATGATTTCTCATAGAATATTTTAATTTAATTTAGATTTCTTATAGGATATTTTAATTTAATTTTAAAAGGGGGAAATGGTGCCCACAAAAAATAATACAGAACTTTCCGAGGACTTAACAAAACACCAAAGTCGTTATTAACGGCCGCCTGGCAGGCGCGGACAAGGCTATACTGGCGGGCGAGCGAGCGAAACAGACCAAACGGCGGCGCCAAACGCTGCGGTGGCAAATTGACGCCACCTAACTTGTTTACTTTCATTTATTTCCACCATACAAGTGTTCGTTTAAAGCTTCCCTCTCGCATTTTCACCCAACCATTCAACAAATTTTTACAATTTTTCTTTTCCCGATTTGAGCTGATATTCCAGTATCTTTTCCGTTTTAAGCAGAAACCCAGTTTTTTTTTTTTTTTTCTCCTGTTATTTTTCTGTTTCAAATCCATTTTCCTTGGAAAAAAACCAGATTGCACCACCCCATTTGAGCCTTTTTGCCCCCTATTTTTCTATATTTTTCTCGGAAGGTTTTTCTGGGTTTTAGATCTTCCACAAGAGGGTAGAGGATGGGATTGGAGAAGGAGGTGGTGCTGGGCCTGGTGTAGAAAAATGTGGGGGGTGAGTGGCGTGGAACTTGGGGTTATGAATTGTCGAGGTTCATTTCCTCAAAACGTCTCCTCCGCCACTGTCGTCGAATGCCGATCCCGGTCACGATAGGCATTCGATTCCTTCTCCATTGCCTCCGAGGCGTTCTTCGACCAACGTCATCGCTTCCTTTCCATCGGGGCCAACCCGGTGATCGCTTTGATCGACTGCTGAATCCCTTCCTCTCCACACTCCGCACATTCAACAAAATTTTCAAAAAATACATATTTTTCCTTGTCTTCTTTGTAGCTGTTTGGTTCTTAGAAGGTATAACTTCTGAATCTGAACCCGTAATGTTAGCGGAGACCGAAGATTTGGGTGTATATAATAACACTCCTCCTGCTCCCGATACCGGAGTAGTAGAAAGAGATCCAACCGGTCGCTATGTACGGGTATGTAACCAATTTGGCTACATTAACTGCCTATATTCTTCTGCTCGATCTCAGACATTAACGTTCTTCTTCACTCCTTTCTTCTTATGTGAAGTATGATGAAGTGCTGGGTAAGGGAGCATTTAAGACTGTGTATGTTTCTTATCTTTAATTCTTTATCGAATACAACATCTTTGATTGTTCGCTTTGTCTATTATTTTCTCAGGAAGACTTAATAACATTTTTTTAAAAAAAATTTGGGCTCTTTATATTCTGTTGCAGTTATAGGGCATTTGATGAAGTTGATGGGATAGAAGTTGCTTGGAACCGAGTAAAGATTGATGATGTCTTGCAGTCACAGGAAGATTTGGAAAAATTGTACTCTGAAGTTCATCTTTTAAGATCAGTGAAACATGAAAACATCATCAAGTTCTACACTTCTTGGATAGATGAGAAGAAGAAAACAGTTAACATGATCACTGAGCTATTCACATCTGGGAGTCTCAGAATGTATGTTTATTAACATTTTGTTGTTTGGTTCCTTCATGTGCAGATGACTGATGTGTATTTGGGTTGTCAGGTACCGTAAGAAGCATAAAAATGTTGATATGAAGGCAGTAAAAAACTGGGGAAGACAGATTCTTCGAGGATTAGTTCATCTTCACTCTCACACACCACCTATTATTCATCGCGACTTAAAGTGTGACAATATCTTTGTTAATGGACATAATGGAGAAATCAAAATTGGGGACCTTGGCTTGGCAACTGTAATGCAGCAGCCTACTGCTCGGAGTGTTATTGGTATGGTAATTAATACTGTCAACTGCTGTGTTTGATTTAACTGAATGATGAGAAGAATAAATATTTTTGCTTCTGTTCATTAGGAACTCCTGAATTTATGGCCCCAGAGCTTTATGAAGAGGAATACAATGAACTCGTGGATGTGTATTCTTTTGGATTGTGCATGTTAGAGATGGTCACATGTGAGTATCCATACAATGAGTGCAAGAATCCTGCTCAGATTTATAAGAAGGTTATATCTGTAAGTATATCACCAAATATCGCATTATTTATGCAGGGACGGAGCAAGTGGGGTGCAAGGGAGGAGCGAGCCTTTTGAAAAAAAAATTAAATTGGTCCTATACTTAAAAAAAAAAAAAAAAAAAAAATCAGATAAACCCTTTTTCAAAAAAATAAAATGGTATATTCTAATTTTTATTCTTTTATAGATCTTATGATGAATTACCAACAACTTGACAAGTAAAATAAAATTAATTAAATGTTTTTATTTATTTAACATGTTTGTCCTTGTAATATAGGCATATTTAATAATTATTTGTATTAAACAACGAAATAAAATTGATTTAAAATTTACATTATCAATTCTTTAAAACATTTAGTTGTACTATCTGGATAATATTGAGTAATATTTTGTGATAGAAGTTATGTTTCTTATTGAAATTTAAATACACAAATTTTAACAAGTTTTTTTACATTTAAAGTCTTTAAAATTTTAATTTTTATATATTTAAATCTTAATTTTATTTATAAATTACAAATCAAGAAATGCATCTTTTAACATATATATCTCAAATAGCAACTCGCCCCTCCTAAGATTATTTTCTGACTCCGTCCCTGTATCTATGTTTGCTTTGGAGTTCTGAAATTCCTTTCTCTTACTGTTAATTTTATATGTGGATGCATTTCATTCAAGGGTATTAAACCTGCTTCCCTTAGTAAGGTGGGTGATCCACAAATAAAGGAGTTCATCAAGAAATGTCTTCTGCCAGCATCTGAGAGATTGTCTGCAAAGGAGCTCCTGAATGACCCTTTCCTTCAAGTAGAGAATCCAAATCCAAAGGAACCAATCCGTGATCCAGTGAAGCTACCTAAAATCACTACCAAATCAATAACTTTACCTGTATCTTCTGGGCCTTTGTCCATGGAGATCGATACTGACTATAAGAAGCTTTCTTTAAGCACAAATACTGAAAGCACCAATGGGAGTCCATATTGTCCAGTTCTAAAGTTTCAAAGGACACATAAGAACAACAAATTTGGGTTGAAAGGGATGAAAAATGATGACAATTCAGTATCATTAACCTTGCGAATTGCTGATTCATGTGGTGAGTATATTTCCTTGACATACATTTATTGGCAAATAATGCAGTGCTTACAGTTCAGAGGTTAATCACATGTCTTCTTTTTTGCAGGTCGAGTAAGAAACATACATTTTCTCTTTTACCTTGACACTGATACGGCACTCTCAGTGGCTGCTGAGATGGTTGAACAATTAGAGTTGGCAGAGCATGATGTAGCCTTCATAGCCGATTTAATTGATTACTTGATAATGAAACTTTTACCTGAATGGAAGCCGTCCTCTGATTATTCCTCAAGTGAAGCAATAAGTCCCATTGGCGAATCCCCAGTTTTAGGAAACTGCCAAACTTTTGCGGCAAACCAGTGGGATTCAGTGCTAGCTGTGGCTAAGAAAGATGTTACCTCTGGACTAAATACAAATCCTAAAGATGGTTCTCATGGCGTTTATCATTCAACCCCAAGTTTGGCTAATTTGGAAGATCATGAATCAGAAATATCAATGGTCTCCGAGATTTTGATTGAGGATGCTTCCTCAAAAACCTATATGGTATCTGAAGCTACTGATGGAAGTTACAAAGGCTTAAGTGGATATCACTCTGAGCTAGAACTTGGGCATTCATATTCTAATGAGTTCAACTCAAGAAATGATAGCGGTGCTGAAGAATGCATGCTGTTAAATGAATTTGCAAAGAATACGGAGATTTCATTCCCAAATTTGAATTGCATATCAAATGATATGAGCTTGAACAGCAGCTGCTCATCTCTGTCCCTGATGGACAAAGATCTTGATGATGAGCTAAGGTTGGAACTGGAAGGGATTGAGGCACAGTATCAGCGATGGTTTCAAGAGCTTTCCAGGATGAGGGAGGAGGCATTGGATGCGACTAGAAAGAGATGGATGGCTAAGAAGAAACTGGGTGTTCACTGACATCATTTTCTTCTTTTTGTTTATTTGATTGCTGTCTATAACATCCATTCATTTTCGTCGTTCCTTGAAAGGGCTCCCATACTAATCACCTGAAACCTTCTGTAGCGGATGCGGCACCTTGTTTTTCTAGGAGTCGTGATCCCTTTGGATTTAATTGTGTTTGTGCACCTTCTTTGTTTACTTTTCTTGGGAATACCATGTACATAATTTTCCATAGTAACAGACAGTTAATCCTCCTCTACGCTTTCATGCTTTGTGATTCTAGTTGCCGGTAGACAAGCAGAAAAAATAAACTTACCCAGTTTTATATATGTACGAAATGAAAATATTTAGACATAAGAAAAAGAGGGCATCCGCCATTATTGATTGGCATGAAAATAAACTTTACTAGTTTTATATTATATATGTTATCCCATTTCCCCTTTCCCCTTTCTCCAAAAATTGTAGCTGTTAAAGAAAAAAAACCATACATGATATATATTTGAAATGAAAATATTTAGACAGGAGTAAAACAGGGCATCTGCTATTATTGGCATGGTTTACAATTGGGAAGCAACCCTCAGCCCAGAAAGCCTGCCACCTCTTACATGTGCTTTGAATGCCTGCTAAGTATGAAGAATTAGCAGTACCACTACTATTGTCCCATAATATTGTTACAAAGAACAAGTATAGGCACCCCTTAGCTCCTTTAGTTACGGCCAGTGGTTCATGCCCAGGTCTGTTACTTCTGTTCAATTCCCAACTCCCCCTCCCCCCTCCCCCCTCTCCAATTGTAACTTGTCAAAATAATAAATAGGTTTATAAAGCTTGCGATTGGAAACTTAACTGACTAGGAAAGATAATGTTATAGAAACTCATAGAATTGTGGATCAGGAAGATCATAAAAAATAATGGCATGGAAACTACTCAATCCTCACGCCAAATCTTTTCACATTTCAAGCACTCATAGATTGTTGATGCTGGCTCATCAGCTGACCGGATCTGCATTTGTTTGAAAAGTGCTCTTCCATAACCACAAAATGGGCAAGTTGCTGCAGGAAGAGAGAGAGGTTAGGAAAGACAATGAAACTCAATAAAGAAAAAAACTAAGAACTTTGGTGTGGCAAGTGTCAGACAGCATTGCGAGCACAGACTTAGTTGTGCAATCATTTATCAATCATGGAGCAACAAGAATAAGAACAAAAAATAATGTTCTATGGTACAAACTTTCAAAGTTACTTTCGCAGTAGAGGTCACATGTGAAACACAGTTTCCTAGACCTCCAGCCTCTAGGCTACAAAAATTGCACATTTTCATTAAAAACCTAACCTGCAATCTATTGGACGACGTATAACCTACAACTTTCATTGACTGGAAAACTTTGTTGAGAATAAGCTCCAAAATTGCAGAATCTACAACTATTAAACTCTCTAAGTTTTCTTTGAAATATTTAAAACAAGATTCAACAATGGTATTATCACATAATTGCCGACCACTACTGATTCACTCATAATTCAGAAACTATGATTCACATCAATCAATGATTCAAACCTTGTAATCCAGAACTTAAAATAACTAATGAAAACAATTTTTGTCCAGTGAATAACTTCTAATATAATTTTCCTCTCTTATGAACAAACTCTACACCACAGGTCATGTCTTAGAATCAACAGGAATGTTCTAAAGCTCTTTGTTATAAGCCGAATCAGATATAAAGGTAATTCCTTTCATAAGATTCATCCGTTACACTTGAGTAAGGAATTCACAACAGAAGAAACAAAGATCATACTTTTGAAACTTCATATACATCTGAAACTACCAGACACACAAACAGTGTGCAAAAAATCAATATAGTTCAGGCCAATACAATGAATCAAACCTATCTATAACTTCACATCCCATCTAATCCCCCCCAAAAAAAAAAACCCAATTCAAGTGTGTAAGTATGAATTAAGAAGAAAAACAGAAACTTGCCGTCGGTCTCGGCCCCGCCAGCCTTCATCTCCTCTTTAGTGAAAACGGGTTCTATTTCTTTTTTCACCAGGTGCTGCCTTCTCTTTATTTTAACCTGTTTAAACACAGAAGAGATAAAAATACCAGTGAAAAACAAAGGAAAAGGAGAAATTCAACAGATTTGAGAAACAACAAGATGAAGAAGAGGAATACCGACGCCATCTTACATTGCTTTCGAGGTAACAAACGTAGGGACATGCGGGGCAGAAGAATCTAGAAGGGGTAGCTCTCTCGTACTGCAACAGAGTACCACAAGTTGGGCAAAACTCCATTCCTTTACCCAATGCAAATATTCTCTGCAATGGGGAAAAAAATAGCAATCGAGAGGAAAGTACGTGGTTAAATATACAAAGGCAGGTGAATTTTCTGGTCTGAATCGGTGGAAAGAATTGATTGTGTTTGAGATAAACCCTAACTTGAACCCTGTTCTTTGTCCCGGAGGAGACCCCTGGTTCGGTTTAGTTGGTTTTGCTGATGGTAGCCCTGAGTTTTGCAATATTGTGGTTTTTAACCCCTATGTTTTGTTTTTGTTTCTGTTTTTGTTTTTTTATGGAATTTACCACTACCACTATGTTTTGTCTTTTTGGAATTTACCTCTTTGTTTTGACAAACAATTAAAATTGTCTATTAGACCTATAGAAAAATTCTATTAGAGAAAATTACAATATATATATATATTAGTAGAAGTTTAGAAATTAGAACTTCCTATTTTATTCAACTCATCTCACAAAAAGTCTCATTTGGCTAGATTGAAATTAAGAGTATGTTTGATTTGAGAAAAATATGAGAGGAATATGATTTTTTCTAGTCAATTAAATTATAATATTAAAAAATAATACAATTTAGTTGATTAAAAATTTATTGCTCTTCTTCATGTCAAACATATTTGAAAAGTCTCTTCTTCTTCTTCTTCTTTTTTTATCTAGATTGTGTTTGGTATAGGTAGTTTTTCCAGTTTTACTAAAAATTGTAATTTTTTTTTTTTTTTGAATATGGAGAATTATAGGGGATTGAAGAATTTTTCAAGTAATTAGTGAGAATCAAACTTTCGACCAACTAAATTCAAACACTAAAATTTAAGAACGAATTATTAGATCCGAATGTCCAATTCCACTAAAAATTGTAATTTAGTATTTACAAATCTTACAAACAAAATACTATAAATATTTGACATTTTTACTCCATTCTTATCAATCACACGATTTTAATAAGGGATAAGGGAGTTTTTCTTTTTATTATTCAAGATGTAAAAAGTTCACCAATATCAACCTTTTAAAAAAAAAGAGAGAGACGGTAATCCTACTATTAGGAAAAATCATTATTAATACCTTTTGTTTTCTTGATTTCTAATTCCATGTTCACTCAATCACCCATCTAATTTCAAATCTTCTTAATTAGATTAATAGTCCATTTTCTAGATTTTTTTTTCTTTATTTTTTGAAATAGGACAATTAACTTTTCTTCTTTTTTTAGTAAAAATAGGGTAATTAATGGATTTTACAAATGGAATTATTGGAATTTGAATTCAAGTCAAGTTATTAACTTATCTTCTCTTCTTCTTCTTTTTTTTTTTTTATGGGAATATTAACTTATATCTTCTACAAAAAGAAATACAATATTATAATAATAATAATAATAATAACCTTTTTTGTTTTAACTAGATTATACTTATAGGTAATAGCTTTTAACTAGGATTCAAAATTTCAAAGATGTTGGATGCATGGGTGACTATTGCACTCAATTTACAATTGGTTTGTGAGTATTTTTATTTTGCAATTGACTTCACCTTTCTCGCTGTTAAGGAAAAAGTTTTGCCGTGGGGGTGATTCAGTGATTGGCACTCCATAGATTCTTTAATGGCGGATACACCACGCCACTATTGCTGCTGCCATTGTGGGAATCTCCTTTCCCGTCACGATGATCTCGTTGCTAAAGACTATTTGGTAAGTAACTTCTCATTATTTTCAAACAA